GGAGTGCATTTCCGTGCAGAGAAGCGTTATTATCAAGCTACCCTCTCAAGCCGGCGCCGCAGGCTAGCGATGAAGCTAGCAGCTCAAGCTAGCGCCGTAAGCTTTACAAGGGAGTGGCTGCGCAAGCCGAGGGTTATAGCTAGCGTGTAAACTAGCGTCGAGGCTTAAAGGTACACTAACGTCTCGTTGGTTTGGTTACCGGCCGGTAACCGTCCGCGGGATAGCAAACAGGGTTACGGTAGGGGCTCGCCGCGGAGCAAAACCGATCCCGGACCACTCGCCTGGGGCGAGCGCTTTCGACCACTAGGCCATGGGACAGACGGGAGAGGGGAGAGGGGAGGGGGATAAGAAGGGTCGGGGCTTGCTGAGGCCAAGAGCCCGAATTCCCGACCACGAACCTAATTTTTGCACGAGATTTTAGTGTACCTTTAAGCACGAAGCTTACCTCACAAGCTAGCTATTCGCGCTGACCGCTCAAGCTTGCGCCGCAGGCTTTGGAACGAAGCTAGCCGATCAAGCTAGCCGATCAGGCTAGCGCCGTAGGCTTTCGAACGAAGCTAGCCGCTCAAGCTTGGGCCGCAGGCTTTCGAACGAAGCTAGCCGCTCAAGCTTGCGCCGCAGGCTTTCGAACGAAGCTAGCCGCTCAAGCTAGCGCCGCAGGCTTTCGAACGAAGCTAGCCGCTCAAGCTAGCGCCGCAGGCTAAAGAATGAAGCTAGCCGCTCAAGCTAGCGCCGCAGGCTTTCGAACGAAGCTAGCCGCTCAAGCTTGCGCCGCAGGCTTTCGAACGAAGCTAGCCGCTCAAGCTTGCGCCGCAGGCTTTCGAACGAAGCTAGCCGCTCAAGCTTGCGCCGCAGGCTTTCAAACGAAGCTAGCCGCTCAAGCTAGCGCCGCAGGCTTTCGAACGAAGCTAGCCGCTCAAGCTTGCGCCGCAGGCTTTCGAACGAAGCTAGCCGCTCAAGCTTGCGCCGCAGGCTTTCGAACGAAGCTAGCCGCTCAAGCTTGCGCCGCAGGCTTTCGAACGAAGCTAGCCGCTCAAGCTAGCGCCGCAGGCTAAAGAATGAAGCTAGCCGCTCAAGCTAGCGCCGCAGGCTTTCGAACGAAGCTAGCCGCTCAATCTTGCGCCGCAGGCTTTCGAACGAAGCTAGCCGCTCAAGCTTGCGCCGCAGGCTTTCGAACGAAGCTAGCCGCTCAAGCTTGCGCCGCAGGCTTTCAAACGAAGCTAGCCGTTCAAGCTAGCGCCGCAGGCTAAAGAATGAAGCTGCCCTCTCAATTATGCGCTGCAGGCTTTCGAACGAAGCTAGCCGCTCAAGCTTGCGCCGCAGGCTTTCAAACGAAGCTAGCCGTTCAAGCTAGCGCCGCAGGCTAAAGAATGAAGCTGCCCTCTCAATTATGCGCTGCAGGCCAAAGGACGGGGCTAGAAGTAGAATTTTGCACCGCAGGACAAGGAATGACCCCAAGCTCAAGTTTGCGCCGCAGGCTTAAGTCGAAGCTATCCGCAGAAGCTTGCGTCGCAGGCTCCAGAAAAGAAAGACGATTGGTAGCTAGCGCCGCAGGCCAAAAGAAGAGGGCTGTCTTCGAATTTTTTAGTCTGTGAGCTATGACAGCCTTTTTTTCGAAAGGTTGTATTTTTATAATTATTAGTATGAAGAGACCGAACAAATTGCTTCACCTGGGCGACGTGATTTGGAAGGGCGCCAAATTCATGGCGCCTAGACGGGGTCCAGCGGGGGGAGAGTCGCGAAGCGGCTCCTCCCCCGCTGGTAGGATAATAATTTGCTACGAATTTTCTATACCTACAAGAGCATTTTCAGTATTAGAGCCCTATGAGGAGCTAACAAGGGAACCTCAAGTTGGCACGGTGGAATTTCGAAGAACGCTCGCGGCTACCCCTAGGTTTTCGACTATGGCGATTCCAACGGTCTAGTCAGAATTTCCTAAATAGGCCTCTGGACAGAGATACAGCACTTCCGGAAAATGATGATTTACATCCGAAAAATTAGCATTAGCGATTGGTTTATGAGGCTCTCCCATCACTATGGAATCACCAGTTGACTGGCCGAGTGGTAAGCGACTCGCTTGATAGGATACTGACGAGGGTTCCAATCCGCTCACTATTTTGTATTTTGCTTTTTGACCGGAACTTTCTGCCGAACTCCAAGTTTTGATTTTTACTATAAGAAAAAGTTTTGGTGATGGCTCCAGACTGATTCCTCCCAAGAATCCTGAAAACTCGTTCTCGAAATTCAAAAAAGTTGGGTCTACCCATATTCCATTTTTTTTACAGAGAAACCCCTATGATTTACTTGGATTCTTTTAGAAGCTTTAGAAAGAGAACGCATTTTCGAAAAAAAAGTAACCAAAACTTGGAGTTGGGCAGAAAGTTCCGGTCAAAAAGCAAAATACAAAATAGTGAGCGGATTGGAACCCTCGTCAGTATCCTATCAAGCGAGTCGCTTACCACTCGGCCAGTCAACTGGTGATTCCATAGTGATGGGAGAGCCTCATAAACCAATCGCTAATGCTAATTTTTCGGATGTAAATCATCATTTTCCGGAAGTGCTGTATCTCTGTCCAGAGGCCTATTTAGGAAATTCTGACTAGACCGTTGGAATCGCCATAGTCGAAAACCTAGGGGTAGCCGCGGGCGTTTTTCGAAACTCCACCGTGCCAACTTGAGGTTCCCTTGTAAGCAAAGGCCCTGCTACCCCCCGCTAACAGTCAAGTGCCAATTGTTGTACTTTCGATTTCAGGCACGTAAACTAGCAGTGACGAGGAATCTATTGGATTTGGACAAAAAACGTGGCGACTCATTGTGACGCGCCTTCCCTTGATCACAGTCTGTAAAAGTTTTTTTTTGGAAGCGACACGCGGCGGGGCTCGTTAAAATTACCGGCGCTCATGCTGGTGGCCGGCGTACTCTTTTTGGTCCTGGCTGAACCAACATGTTATTCACCCAGTACAATTGCCGGTTTGGCGCCATACCTATCTGTAATTGGGGGGAAAGGGGGATTGGTCATTATCTCGAAAATCAACATCTCGAAAATCAATATCTCGATAATAAACATCTCGAGAGTTAAATATCCCGAAAAATAAACATTGCGAAAGTTAATTATCTCGAAATTTCATTATCTCGAAAGTTCATTATCTCGAAAGTTCATTATTGCGGAAGTTGAGTATATCGCCCAGATATATGATTAAATGATACATATTTCCTCAATAATGAACTTTCGAGATAATGAAATTTCGAGATAATTAAACTTTCGAGATAATTAACTTTCGAAATGTTTATTTTTCGAGATATTTAACTTTCGAGATGTTTATTTTCGGGATGTTGATTTTCGAGATGTTGATTTTCGGGATAATGATAGGTAATCGGGGGGAAAGTCGCATAGCTCTCGCCATTGTGACATGTGTCCTCTGATTTGGCTGTTTCACGGCCGGTTTCGTAATGATATACGGGGTGTCCCAAAAAAAGCACTCCCCTTTAGCAGCCTGCACTGTGGCCTCCGCAGGCGTGTCCGATTTTTTCGATGTAGGTATCTACGGAATTAAGCTCTCCACGAGTAGAGAAAATCTGCCCTCTCCGTTTTTGGAGGTTTTCTTATAATTACTGCAATTTTTTGGAAACTTCTGACGCTTTCAATAATATGCTTTTTACAGAAATCATAATTTCTGAATTTTTGGGCTTGTTCTGTCGGCCCGAAATCCGCTTTCTGTGAAATTTGAGAAAACCAGTTTGAGTGTCCGATTAAATTGGATTTTGGGAAAATTCCGGAAATCAAGCTGGAATTGGAAGCTCGGAGAAAATATATTTCGTCAGCTGGTCGAGAGCTTTCGATAAATAATCTCTATGAAAATCAATTATTGCAGTTTATTAGTGCATTTTAATAGCATTTTCGGCGATTTTCGGAAGCGGACATTTCCCAAAGGCACACCAAACGGTCAGATCGCGATCGGTCAGCCGGATCTCCCCAGATTCGTCGATCTAAATGATGAAGCTTTAACAAGGCCAAGGGTTGCATAGCTAACCTCATATTGGACAGTGCCCTTTCCATCAAGCCCATGCTCGGTCTGGCTGATTGGCGGGACACCGTCTAGTCCACGTGGGGTTTTGCTAAAATTGGGGTTATCGAGTTGACAAATAGATTGTTCACTTACCTGAACGTCTTCATGGTTGTCATGTAGAGGCCGCAAAGCGGGGCAGAGAAATTGACGGTTCGAGACTTTCCGGCGCGGGAGAGTTTTAAGATTTTCGTCGAGCCATCGGCAAATTCGGCAGCGACAAACATTTTGCCGGGGTAGTGCGAGCGAATCTGGCATTTGGTTTTGATGGAATTGAAGGGGATGCTTGCAGAGACATTTGGGGGGTAGCCTATACCAAGCTAGCCGATTTTGCACGTTTTATAGCGGATTTTGTAGCGTTTTTAGTAGTTTTAATCACTAATTTACCCACTTATTTTTAGTAGATTTTTAGGTTTAGTGTAAGTAGATTTTTTAGGTGGAGCTATTAGTTTTTTTTTGCAATTTCGACGACTCTTCATACAACTTTGACTAAAAATCACAATTTTTCCCAAATTTTAATAGTTTTTCTATATCTTTTTAATTCTATTCTTTCTAGTCTTGTTTTTAAATTTTAGGACTTTGATTCCTTACCTTAATTTTCAGCTCGCATGCTTGAATGGCAACCACCAGCGGCAAGGCCAGAAAAAGAGTAGATAAGTGTTTCCGGTGTTGCATCCTTGAGTTTTGCGCGAAATTCTTTAGAAATTGAAGGAAAAGAGCCTCGAACTCGGCGGTTTGGCGTGGCGGGGAGGATGAAGCTGGCCGGCCGGAATTCTCGCGCTGTGTCCTATTTAGATGCGCGCGTCGAGATTATGAGACGCCCGTGGGGGAGGGGTTTTGCGCTGGAAATAAGGCGTGTCTGTGAATGGAGAAACTGCTTTTATTTATTTTTATTGAATTAACGTACTTCCTCAACCTTTTTACAAAATACTACTTATTTCTTCATCTGCTTCAGGCGCTCGATCCAGCTCCGCTTTTCGGGTTTCGGCAACCGAGAGGCGCTCTGTAAAATTCGCTTTAGAGGCGGTAGATTCGGGGGTGCTAGACTGATAGCGGGGGGCGATGCACGTTTAGCAATACTGTCCGTCGATTTTTTTGAGTTTTGTGGAATTTGTAATGGTGGTTTTTCAAGAGTAAAATTTAATTGAAAATCCTTCGGAGATTGCAAACATGATTTTAACCAAAAAAACACAATATTTTTTCAGCTTGTAAATTTTTTCATGAGATTGTTGTGGAAAAATCCATCTTTTTGAGTTTTTAATAGAAATTTGTAAATTTTTTACTTTTCGGATTTGCAAAAAAACTGTTTAGAAAAGCAAAGAAAAACAAAAAACAAGCCGCCCCTAGGAGCTTAGAGGCCATATAAAGTTACCGGCTAACCCCCCCCGCTAACAGACCAGAACCGATTCGGAATTACCTGGGTGGGGGACAATGAGCCGCTAAGGTGCGCCGGAATTACTGGGGCACACGGTGGCGATGGATGGCGGAGGGCGCTAAAAAAACTAATTATTTACAATTTCTCTTTGTCGACATTTTTTAAAGATTTTTCACCTTGGATATTCCAAAGTCCGGGCTTTTGGTCTAGGCGTCGGCATTCCGGTGGCGTGGAGCGCCGAATCGGGGGCTTTCTGAAATTAAGCCTTATTTTATAGACCTATCAAGTTGAGTGCAAATTCCCCAAGAATCTCTGCTGGTCAGTTTCTCGCTCTGTTTCTGCTGACCGGTCTGAACGTGGCGTGCGGAGGGCGGATGCGGCTGACCGGAGCGCTGCGCTGGAGTCGTGAAGATGGCCGATAGGCGACAAGGGCTGAATTTTTCGCGTTTAAGGCGAATTTAGAAGGGTTTAAAGTGATTCGAAAGAAAACTTAGTTAAGGAAATTAGCTAGTTTTTAATTGGCGCTCACCATCGTCCTTCAAATCGTCTTTATTCTGGGTGGTGTTCGGCGCACGATCGCTCGGAACGCGCTCGATTTTGCGTTCTGGCTTTCGCTGAAAAATTAGTTTTTTTTAAGACCTAGTTGTTTTTTTAAGAATTCTGTCGAACCTCATTGATCGGCCGCGGGTCCGGCGGCTTTTCCGTGGATTGCTGTCGAAGTTCGCTTCGTCGGAGCACTAGAATTCTCGATTTCAAGCGGTTTTGGGGGTTCGTTTAACCTTCTACATCAATTGATCGCTGCTTCTCCAGCCGGCGCTCCTTCCGCTCACCAATTATTGGGGAGTCTGGTGCTGAAAAGGCGTTAGAAAGCAGAAAGAAAAAAGAAGAAGAAAGAAAGCAAAAGAAGAGTTGGCTAAAAGAGGGAATTTTTCTGGAAATTTGGGAACGGAAAAAACGTAAAAAGAACTCCTTTTAAAACAAACAAAAATAAATTTTTTTCAGATGCTTACGTCTTCCACTATTGACTAGTGTACGTCTTCGAATGGACAGCGGAGTGGCTAGAGGACTTCTTGGAGGTGAAGATACATCTTGTAGCGAGAGCACAGCTTCTTGCCTAAGAATTGACAACAGTTAGACAGTGGAGTGTCAAGAATGTACCTTTTCTCGGGCGCCTTGACGAGGATGCTTCTCCGTTGTTCATCAACAATGCGCTGCCTGCGCTCCTCCAGCTCGACGAGGCTGATCGGGCGCCGCTGGCCCTCGCGCTCACGTTGCGACAAGCGTTCGTGGGCTCGTTGGCGTTGGCGGAGGCATGGGGGCTGCTAAAAATGGTTCTGGTGCATTAGCGGGGGGTACAAGTTAATACGGTTAGTCGCTTCTCTCCTGTATTTTATTAATTTAATAATTTAAAATTTAACCAGGCTTACCGGATGCTCTCGACAAGCTGTATCATGGCGAGTGACCACAGCTGCCCCATGGTCCCTCGATTTCGGGCTCGGATCGGGGCGGTCGGCAATGTGGGCCAAGCCTAGGGAAGCTTGCTTGCTATGCTTGACTTTTCCTACTTTGCGCGTATCCAAACAGATTCAAGAACTCGTGCTCCAGCGCTCGCTCGCTCTCGAAGGTGGGGGCGGATTGGGCCTAGGGAAAAATAGGTCGTAGTCGTACTCGATTAAAAGGTGCTTTTTCGGAAATGCGTATGTCTTTCTCTTACCTGCTTGCGGTTCTGGCGTCGCAAATTCTCGAGGCGCGACCCCTGGAGTTTGAAGGGGAGCAAGAAGTGCAGCTCACGTTTTGCCTAAACATGGCGAAATCGGTTTGAAAGTCGGCTGGCTTATTAGGCTTAGGCTTGGGCGTAGGCTCAGGTTTAGGCTTGGCTTAGGCTTAGGAATAGGCTTAGACTTAGGCTTCGTTTTGGCTCAGGCTTGGGCTAGGCATGGCTTGTGCTTAGCTCCTCTCCATAGACCCACATTCCGTTCGACCAAATCGTCCCCATGGAAGCTGGCCGCCCTCCGTATCGTTCGCCCACATAGATGAAGCTGTAGGCGAAGACGCTCAATCTGAAAAACCATCTCTTTATCGCCGTACCAAAATCCAAACCTGTGTGTGGGTGATCAGCAACGAGCTCTGAGCGGCAATCAGATCGAGCTCGGCGCGGCTGAGCTCGCCCGGACTTGTCGTGCAGCGCCGATCGGAGCTCGCCGAGCTGGAATTTAGGGTTTGGATTTCCCTAGGGTCCTTTGCTGGCCTGCCATGAGGGCAAGCTAGCAAAGGAAATTAGGGTGAAGAACTGCGAGCCAACCTTTCTGACCATGCCCATCGAAAAGGCGTACAGCGCATCGTAGGAGGGGAGGAGCGACAACTTTCTGGCCAGGGCCCCGTCTTCGATATGGGCATCTAAAGGTACTTTTTTAGGCTAAAGTTTTTCAAACGTTTGAAAACCACTAAAATATCGACAGCTAAAGCTCATTCTCACCTTTCAGGCATTTCTGAGTGAGACGCAGATTTTCGCGCTGTACGCGCTCGACCTGCTCAACCATCGAGCGATATGCGGCCTGGTCGGAGACGACGGCTCTTTTTGCCTAAAATCCCCAGTAATTAAAGAATCTAAAATACGAAGGCTACAACCCACAACTTATACGCTTGAAAAACTACCATTTGGTCCTGGGAGGCGATCTCGGCTCGGCTCTGTTGCAGGTTCGACTCGAATTCGCGCAGTCGATCTTCCACCTTAAGCAAATAGTCTAAGGCGAGTTAAATTTGATAAATTCTAATTAATATATTTTAACTGGATTTTCGTAATCACCTTCCCAAAAAGGCCCATTTGAGAGTGGGTGAAGCGCTCGCGTAGACTCAGCCGATCTAGGCTCTCGTTGAAGTGGCACTTCCGGCGCAGGACGTCGCACTGTAACAAAGGTAGCTTTATATTTCAAGTCAAGGCGTAAAGCTAAGCCTAAGCCTAAGCCTAAATACCACTCCTGTGCTTCTAAACAACTAGCCAACAAGCCTAAGCCTGAGCCTAAGCCTAAGCCTAAGCCTCGCCTAAACGCCAAACATACCTCTTGCTCACTTTCCGCCAGTCGGTCCTGCTGTCGGCTGAAAAGACCGGACTTTTCGCGCAGCTGCTCGACGAGTCGCTCGTTGCGCGTCTAATTTCAAGGGGTTTATTTTATATTGAAAATTCTGGTCGTAGCCTAGATCGTAGTTTCGTGTAGTTTGTAGCGCTTTGAATTTTTCCGTTTATACCTTGAGCTCGGCAATCTCGGCTGATAGAGAATCTCGCTCGTGGCGCAGCCGCGTTTCCCTGTCCACGCGGAGCACGTTTTCTGAATTGAAAAGTTTTTCAGGCTAATAATTGGCATGAAAAAGGCTAAAATATATTTTCCAAGCGGCTAAAAACCTTAAAATCCCGAAAGTCGACTTTTTAAATTTGAAACCTCGACATACCATTCTCGAATCGATCCTTATCGTAGCCGGTCGTCAAATAGGACGTCGACCTAAAAAGCTCGATTAAAAGAGTTGTAAAAACCTTAAAAAAGGCCAAGGCAAACTAGCAGAGGCCTTTGCTGCAATTTTCTAAAACCCTACTTTCGCTTGTTGGCCATCGAATTGCTGTCCTCCTCGCTCTCCTCGGCGGCGAAACGGGCGGATTGGCGATTCTAGAAAATCTAGTTATAAAAATTGCAAAAATTCTACCTTGATACGACGTTGCCTCTCCTCCCTTGCGATTTCTGAAAAATGGAATACATTATTTTAGCAGCATTTAAAATTTAATAAAAAATTGTGATGTGAAAATCCAGAGCGGTTTGATTAATCATTGTTTGCCACTTATTTTTTATTCGTTTTATGCTAAAAAAGCGAACCATCAGCGTCCCGGCTGTCCTTCCGCTTGCGCCTGGTGACGACGCGGGGCGGGTGGAGCAGATCACTCACTGTAAAAGAAGGAGAAATAATTTAATTTGGGCACATACCGGAGCTGATGACCTCCTTGCGCTTCTTCAGCCCGATGAATTCGAAGAAGGACGAACGGGATGAGGCTGGAAATTAAAGATGAAGATCACTCTCTTTCTCTCTTTCTCTCATTCTCTCTCTCTCTCTCGCTCTCTCTCTCTCTCTTCTCTAAAAACTTACTCATCGCCTCCGATGGGTCTCGGCTCGATGCGCTGGACGGAGATGTGCATTCGGACATTGAGAAATCTCGGCCTCGAGTTGATGATCGGGGTTTGTGAGAGGATGTGGATAATGACTGGAATCATGACTTCGCAATTTCCTCCAGGAAGTCTGCTAGCTCGCACGCCTCTCTAAAGCGGTCGTCCTCTCACTCGCTCTCTCTCACTAGCTCACTCCCCCCTCTCTCTCTCCCTACCTCATCAAAAGCCGTATCTTCGACATCACTGTCCGTCATTTCCGGTTGCACGATCGGCGGCTTTTTCTAGAAGCACAAAGTAAATAATCTCCAAAACTGAATTACACTAAAATCACGGCGCCCATCATACGAGAAGTCGGTCGAGATAGAAGAAGCCGTCAGCGGGTCCTATATTTCGCGTGTTAAAGGTCTCGTAAAGGCTGGTTTGAATCTGCCTTCCAATTCCCTTTCAATACCTTTTTCGGCGGTGTGCTCAACCGTTCGCGGGCCCCTATACGGACTTCCGGCTGTCTGCGAAGCTTCGGGATAGAGATGCCGCGCGAGTCGAGCAGGGTGGACATCCGTTGCATTACGTTCTGAAAATTGAGCTTAGGTTTGGGCTTGGGCTTAGGCTTAGGCTTAGGCTAGGGCTAAGATTAGGCTAAAGCTTAGGCTTAGGCTTAAGCCTAAGCTTAACTTAGCTCACGAGCTTGGCTTCTACTGACCATTCTGGGTGGTGGCAATGCCAGTCGAGTCTTCAACCTTCGATTCTCCTTCCGAAGCGTCCCAATCTCATCCACGAGACTACAAAGTACGCCTGAAAACGAAAGTAACTTTTCGGAGTAAATTTCGTTAGCCTTTTTTGGTGGAGCAATTCCTTGTTTTTGATACTTTTTAAGTGCTCTTGAGAGCTTAACAAAATCTACAATTCTTGAAGGACACAATCTTGTACTGCAAAAAAAAATTTTATTCTACAGTATCCACAGCCCCCAAAAAATCCCGGAAAACCTACTCAATATCGGCTGCGGATCCTGGGGCACATCACTTTCGCTATCGTCTCGTTCGCATAGCACCGAGTTTCGCTTTCTAAACAGCGGTTTAGCGTTAAAATCAATAATCATTAACAAAATAATCTTTATATAAATAAATTGCGACAATTTTTAGTCTATAATTCTCATATGATTAAAATAGCTATCTTTCATACCTTTTTGATAACACCGATGCCTCGTCCTCCCGGATCGAATGGGACATTTGCTCGAGCTCCCGCATAAACTCGTCCTCCTCTGATTCATATCTGAGCAAAACCTTTATTATAAAGTTCCAATGTACAAAACGATAAAATAATTCTAATTAATAACACCAGACTTCTCCAGATAATTTAATACTCACCGATTCATAATTTCGCGGAGATATCCATCTTTGGACATTCTAAACTCCCGGATTCTACATAGGAATTTAATACAATAGGACAAAAAGTATTATCGATAAATTTGAAAAGGAAAAATAAGCACAAAGTTTTATGAACGGGCTATATTTACAAAAAAAATAAGAAATACCACCTGGGATTAGGCTTAGGCTTAGGCTTGGCCGTAAGCTTAGACAGAGGTTTAGGCTTAGCCTTAGGCTTAGGTTTAGGTTAGGATTGGGCCTAGGATTGAAGCCATGGCTTACTGTAACAGGTTTAACATTTTGCGGCCAGAAACAGGAGACTATTGTGCAAATTGGTGGGTCTTGGAAATGGGGGGGATTTGCAGAGAGGCTGGCACCAATCGGCCAGTAGGGGTGTAAAGTGCGAGGAGTAGTGGATAGGGAGGAAGGGTCAACCAAAACAACCCCACGAAACCACCAATGTGACAGGCGTCTCTCATCACGGGATGGGGATAAAGCTTAAAGGGATGGTGCCAGCAGGGGAAGGGGGGAAAGAGGCAGAAAAATGGATACCTTGCCTTAACCATACCTTTAAAGGTGTAGTGAAGTGTCAGGGGCGTGATTCAGTGCGGCCGGAAACCGAAACGTCTGTTATGCTCCTCTCTTTATCCTTCTCTCTCTCGCTATCTTTCATCATCTTTATCTCTCTCGCTCTCCCTCCGCGCTCCCTCTTTTTCTCTCTCCCTCCCTATCTCTCTCTCACTGACGTTCCCTCTCTCTCTCTCTCTCTCTCTCTCTCGCTATTTATCTCTAGCTCGCTCCCTATCTCTAGCGCGCTCTTTCTCTCTAACGGTCTCTCTAAATTACCGCACTTCGAAATTGACGATTTTTCTAAAGTTTCAGGGCTTGAAGTGAGCGAGAAAGAGAGAGATGGTGAGTGAGGCAGAGCGATAGAGAGAGATAGAGAGAGAAAGTGAGCGAGCGAGACAGAGAGAGCGAGCACCATCATGAAACCACGAATTTTAACCATCGAACTCTGAAATTTTCGAAATCCACAATTTACAGCGGTGTTACCGTATTTTTCAGTTTTTTTATGTCATTTCTGGCCTTGCCTTGCCGCTCTTTTTTCTCGCCAGATTTTGCCACTCCTCGTGGCGGCAATCTGGCATCATTTTCTGCTCGGCAGCTCCTCCTCCTACTCCCCTCTCAAGCCAACATATCGAAGCCGTGGCCCCATCGTGGGCCCTAATTGTGGCCCCTTGTCCTCTCAATCCTTTGGCCCCTCCCCCTCCTCTCGCGCCCAAAAATGGCTTGTCACCCGAAATGAGTATCCAGTTTTTTTGGTGAGGCGCACTCTCAGCCCGGCGGGGCCACTGATTTTGGGTGTCATGGATTTTGCAGTTTTTTGGAAGATTTGGTTAAAATTCCCGGATGGTTTGCCTGCTGTGGGTTACTGTAGGATACCTATTAAAATTCTTACCGGTCCCATTCAAACAATAAAAGCGAGAGAGAGACAAAGAGAAGAGAGAGGGAGAGAGAGAGCGAAATATAGTTTCAATTTTCCGGTCCTTTTAGAAACAAAAATAGGCCCTGAAAGTGCCTCGCTACTTTAAAGCTGCCGAAAAATTATCTCTCTCTGTCGCTCTCTCACTCTCTTTCTCTCTCTCTCTTTCTCTCTTTCTCTCTCTCTCTCGCTATCTCTTGCTCTCCCTCCTTTTCTTCGGCGATTTTTGAGTTCCAATGCAAACACTGCTTCCCAATTTAATGAAGCTATTCCACCTGTCCTCCTGCTCCTCGTCGAAAAAGCCAGCCAAAAGTGCTGCCAAATTCCCTAGAGAGTCATTTAGTAGACGCGATACGAGGAGACCCATTATCCCATCCATTTCTTTTGCCCCTCCCCACGCCCACATTCCCTCCAGTGCCCAATAAAAAAATCAACTGGTTGGGTGGAAAACTGGTGTTCCGGCGATACAGCTTTACTTGCTTGTCGAATTTTGAAATTCTGGCTTTGTGCCTCTCTAGCTGCATTGCTCTCTCTCTCTCTCCCGACATGTCTCTCTCGCTCATGTTGATTTCGCACGGTTTCATGACTGAATGCCTAAGAATTCTCAAGCGGTAGGGTGCAAGAGTGAGAGGGAGAGCGCGAGAGAGCGAGAGATAGCGAGTGGCGTAAAGAGACAGAGAGAGAGTGAGTGCGAGAGTGAGAGGGGATTGGGTGACTGAGAGATAGAAAGCTTTAGTTTCCAATTACCTTCCCCTATCAATATTGGTATCCCAAGAGCTTCTCGTTTACTACTTGGGTTGGGCCTCTACCTGGGTCACCACCCACAATTTGAGGGGGGGCCCAGATCGGGTCAGCTGTTCCCCCCACCCACCCCAAACTCTTTGCCCCCGTTTATACCCCACTCAAGGGTCAAAACAGCCCAAAAAAAGCCGTCGATTCCGGTGGATCAATTTTCAGATTTTTTAAAGGTTTTTACAGTAGTCTTGCACTGTATTTTGTCTTTGCAATCGCGTATCGTTTGATGCCAATTTTTGCTTGTCGGTATTTTGGGCTTGCGAGAGCTTGGCTGTCGGGATTTTGGATGTGGTGATTGTCTTGTCGGTATTTTGTCCCGGGAGGATTTTGGTCATCGAAATTTCAATTTTCGGGATTTTTGGCGGTCGGCATTCTGGCGTTTTCCCGTGTCTCCAGGTGTCCCTCAGAAGGCATCTGGCCCTTCCCATCCGATCCATCCGGGAAGTTTTCCCCTTTGCCCCCCTTCTGCTCTCTACCCAGCCGGGCCCTCGGGGGAAGCTTCATTTGTTGAAATATTCATTGGCTCAATCTGCCTCCTCCCCTCTAGAGTCTTCCTCCCCCCATCCCATCCCCTTCACACTCTATAACTCGCCCCCATTTCCGGGTATTCCGTCTCCAGACGGCCACTTGTTTTTCGGGGCGGCCTGGCTAATTTTAAAGGGGCGGTGAAGTTATGGATACTGAGAGCTAGAGATAGAGAGAGAGGGAGAGAGAGGGAGAGAGAGGGAGATTGAGTTAAGGAGAAAAAAAATAGTCTCTTTAGCAATTTTCGCCCCAAAATAATCTTTGTTAGCCACCCAGGGCAAGCTAGCAGAGATCTTTAAGCTCGCTTACAACCCGTAATTTTTGTGTAAAATGTCGCCCAGTCAACTTTCATAGCCTCCCAGGGCACATCTTTCCTCTATCCTCCCCCCGTCGCGTCGCCCATTTCTAATTCACTCATGCTCTCTCTCTCTCTCCCTCGCTCTCTCTCTCACGCTCTCTCCTACAGCCTAATTGGGGCTGTTCCCTCTTTCCCTCACTCGCCATTATAAAAAATTCACACACCCACCCGCACATCAAAGAAGCGCAATTTTTCGCGCCCCATCAGGCCGCCGCCATCACTCCTCCCAATAATTCGAGCAATTTTGGCCTTTTTCAGTTGGGTTTTTGCAGTTAACAACTCTGTTTCTTTACGTCTCTCTCTATCTCTATCTAGCTCTCTCTCTCTCTCTCTTTCTCTCTCTCTCTCTCTTTCTCTCTCTCTCTCTCTCTCTCTCTTGTCGCCTGCCTCTTTCGCCCCTCTTTCTCGCTCTCGCTCTCTCTCTCGCTCTCTCTCGCACTCTCTCGCTTTTTCTGTCTCCGTGTCTCCGTGTCTCTCTCTCGCTCTCTCTTTCTCACTTCCATTCCCCCCCTGATTACCTATCATTATCTCGAAAATCAACATCTCGAAAATCAATATCTCGAAAACAAACATCTCGAAAGTTCATTATCTCGAAAGTTCGTTATCTCGAAAGTTAATTATCTCGTATTATTATCTTTCTACTCGAATACGAGATAATTAACTTTCGAGATAATGAACTTTCGAGATAATGAGCTTTCGAGATAATGAACTTTCGAGATAATGAACTTTCGAGATAATGAACTTTCGAGATAATGAACTTTCGAGATAATTAGCTTTCGAGATAATGAACTTTCGAGATAATGAACTTTCGAGATAATGAACTTTCGAGATAACGAACTTTCGAGATGTTTATTTTCGAGATGTTGATTTTCGAGATGTTGATTTTCGAGATAATGATCAATCCCCTCCCCCCCTCTATTTCTTTCTCGTCACTATTCCCCAAATGGTCTCTGCCAGTTCCCCCCTCACTATCTTTCCTCGAATCCAGCCATCGACCCATCCAATTTGTGTCTACCTCGAAGACGTCCTGCCCCTCCCTGTCACTTGTAATTTGGGCACTCGGCCCATCAACCTCTTCTTTTTGAGCATCACCCAGTAGCTCTACCTCCCCATGCCCCGGGGTCTGTTTTTCCGGCACGGCTTCTCCTCCCTGCCTAAATTGCCCATATTCTGATCCCCCGGAAAGCGCTCTGCCTCCCCGCTTGCAGATTCCATTAGATCCGGGCTGTTGGGGGTGGACGGGGTGGGGCTGACTGCCGGGGACTCGGGGCTTCCGCTTCTGAATTTGGGCTCGATTTTTGGTAGCCGACGAGGTTTATGGTGGTTTTGGAGGCTTGAAATTACAATTCCGGGCTCATAACAGGCTCTCGAATTTTCGGAATCCGGAAATTTCCATAGGCTGAACCAAATTTAAGAGAAGGAGCGCGGGAGAGAGAGAGCGCGCGAGAGAGGGAGAGATATAGAGAGATATTTCACGGTTCTCTTAAAGACATCATGAACCATCTCTGCTAGCTGCCCAATTAAGGCCTGTTTTTTCCACAAAGGGACCGTGAATTCTGAATTTCACCCTCACTCTCTTTGTCTCTCCCTCTCCCTCGTTCTCTCTCATTCGCTCTCTCTCTCCATGTGGTTCAGAAATTTCGAAACATGGCATTTTCTCTCTTTCTCTACCCTCAGATATGCTCCCCAGAGAATAACTATTCTCAGCTCGTTGCCGATTCGATTTGGCCCTTTCGATTGGCGCATCATATGGACTCAGCTACTCTCTCCACGCTCGCTCTCTTTCTTTCTCTCTTTCTCTCCGTATCGCTCTTTCTCTCTCCAAAAATTCCACAGCACAACTTCTACAACATCGGCGACAACATTTTCGAACTTCC